CTGTGCAGCATGGCCAAAAAAGCCACGAAAGTCCCAGGTGAGCCCTCCTGAGCTAACCTGAGTGGCCCAGACGGCCCTGTGGGGCCACCCGGGCCTCCATCTCTCCACCTCAGTGGGGTTTCCTGGCTGTCCCCACACCTGTCTTCTGCTGCTCCCCTTCTCCGGGCCACCCTGCCTGCCTGCTCTCTCGCCGGGTCAGATCCTGGCCTCGTGCCTGGCTCCCCGACCCCAGAAAAGGTCTGCCAGCTGCTCTCTGATGGATGATACTCAAGGACACGCTGGCAGTTTGGCCCTACCCCAGGACCGTCTTTGTTAAAGCTAACAAAATGAGATGTGCCTGAGTAGACAATGAGTTACTTTGGGGAAAAAAGTTCAAGATGTTTAAAAGTATGTTAAGAATAGTACATTGCACAATATTTTACAATGCACAGCATAGTGCCCTGGTCTAATAAATAAAGAAACAGAAGAGCAGGAGTGAATTGTTTTTCACTGTAAAGACATATCAGCTGTAGTTAACTCTTCACAAACATCATGCTGAGCTTCCCCTCTGGCTCAGTGGTAAAGAATCTGCCTGCAATGCAGGAGACACGGGAGATGCAGGTTTGATCCCTGGGTTGGGAAGATCCCCTGGAGAAGGAAATGGCAACCCATTCCAGTATTCTTGCCTGGAGAATCCTGTGGACAGAGGAGCCTGATGGGCTACTGTCCATAGGGTCCCAAAGAGTGGGACACAACTGAGTGACTGAACACACACACACACACACATCCTGCCAAAATAATAGCATTTTTGTTATCAGAACTCTGTGAATTAATCAGGAATTTATAAAACTTATGCAATGTTGCAGCTATAAAGTTCATCTCCTGATTCTATTATTTTGTTAGTGAGAACACAGCAGTGGCCAGAGCCAGGTCATCTAAAATGCAGATCTTTTTGTTCTGAGTTCAAGGCTCTTTCTGTTACAACTGATGACAGAATCACTTCCTTCAGTGATCAGCGCCTCAAAGGCAAGTATGTGAGGAGGCAGAGGTGAGCAATTAATTGGCTTAGAACTCAGCCCAATCTGAGATCAAACCCTGGTTTTACTGGTGCCAAGCTGAGGGAACTTGTTAACTCATGAGCAAGTTAATTCACCACTCTGAGTATAAGTGCTTTTTCAGCTGAGATGTCGAAATAATAATAACAAATAATGAGAATTATTACTATGTAATAAATTAAATGGTGATAATGCACATGAAGTACACAGATATTGGTCAAATAATAGCTTTTATTACATATATATTTATTATATCATCATATATCCACTGTTCCATCAGCCTGATCAGTGGAGACAGCAAAACTAGATGGTTGGTCAAGGCTTGTGAGGATGTAAGAATTCTGTCTCTTTCTCCTTTTTTTTTTTTGCCTCACTGCACAGCATGTGGGATCTTAGTTACTCCACCAGGGATTAAACCCACATCCCCTGCATTGGAAGCACAGAGTCTTAACCACTGATCACCAGGGAAGTCCCAGAATTCTCTCATAGAACAGGGTGTCATCACATTAGCTGGTGGTTTTCAGGAAAGCTTTTGGTTGAAACCTCACTCTAGTGATATTGATCTATATATTTCATGGTATTGGCTTCAATCAGGTTTCTATCTGAATTCCTGAAAAGTAAACGATGAACTTACAAAATAAGTTGGAAAAAAATAATTAGATTGAATGTAGGTCATGGTAAATCTGACATCTGTTTTTTTGAAAAATGTCTCTTTTTTTGAGATTATAAACAAATCCTGTATTTGTGTAGGACTTTGAGTGTATAGTGGAGAAGGCAATGGCACCCCACTCCAGTACTCTTGACTGGGAAATCCCATTGACGGAGGAGCCTGGTAGGCTGCAGTCCATGGGGTCACAAAGAGTTGGACACGACTGAGCGACTTCACTTCACTTTGAGTTTATAAGGGGCTTCTCTGGTGGCTTAGATGGTAAAGAATCTGCCTGCAATGTGGGAGACTCAAGTTCAGTCCCTGGGTTGGGACAATCCCCTGGAGAAGGGAATGGGAACCCACTCCAGTATTCTTGCCTGGAGAATTCCATGGACAGAGGAGCCTGGCAGGCTACAGTCCATGGGGTCGCAAGGAGTCAGACATGACTGAACAACTAACATTTTCACACTTTTCACTTGAGTGTATGAAGTACTTTCATACCTATGATCTCGTTACATCTTTATGACACCTTACAAAATAAGTGTGTTAGTTACATCTCCATACATGAAGCAATCGAGCTTCAATTTATTTTTATTAGATTCCCATTTAGGATGCTAATTTCAGGGCTTTCCCTCCACATGGTGACCAGCCCTGGAGAAACGATGCCTGTATGTGACTAATAAAAGGCAGGCTTCTTACAGACACATACTTTTCTTGCCAAGAGCCTTTTTATTGGGCTGTTATGTTTCATGGTCAACAATTACAATGACACGCTTGAATAGAACACCTCCAGTTTGCCTGAGACAGTGTCAGTGTTTTCATGTGTGTGTGCCAGGCATTGTCCGTTTGCTCTTAGACCCAGTGTCACCCTTGTCCTCTGCTCTGTTATTTCCAGAAACCACCCTTTCTAGGCCACTCTGTCCTCTGACTTCTCCCCCCTCCCAGTGGAGGGGAGGGGGAGGGAGCTTCCTCTCTGCTCTCTTCCTTGTGTGGACTCTCTGTCTCCATCTCTAGCTAGTTCTTCTCGGTGGTGTTAGTTCTCCTGTCCCACTGCGGTCCTATCTCCTGCTAATCACCCTGACTCCTGGGCTCTATACAATCCCCACCTTCCTTTGACCTGCCAGCAGCCAGTCTCAGGATGACCTCTTGATTCTATTTGGCTCTTTAGCTCTTCCATCTCCTGTGGAACCAAATCCCCTCCTTGAATCCCAGCTATTTTGTTTCATGACCAGTTCATGCAACTAACCTCTTACTTTTACAACATTCCAGGGAGGAGGTAATACTATCATCTCCATATACAGTTAAGGAAATCAAAGCTTGAAAGAGACAAATGGTGTGCCCAACCTCATATGATCCATAAACAGGAGCTCTGGGGCTTGAAGACAGCATCTCCAGCTGACAAGTGACGCCGACTAAGTGAATTCCAGCATCAGTTCCTGGGACCCGAGTGTGCCTGTACACATCACGGTGCTCACAGCATCTCCCCAGTTACAGATGAGGACGCAGAGCTCAGAAACATTAGCTCCATAAAGGCGTGAAGCTAGTAAGTAGCAGACATGGGATTCAGACCAGATCTGACTCCAAACTTGTTTTTTCTACCACTGCAAGTGCTTCCCCCAAAGTTAGGGTATATCACCACTCTGGTGGTGTAGGGTGGTTGAAATCTAAACTCCTAATCCCCACCCCCAGAAGTTCCAGTTCAGTAGCTTTGGGAAGGGGCCCAAGGAACAAACATTTTGCACACCTGCCCTAAGAGATGCTGAAGCCAGGGAGTGTGGAAACCTTAGGAGGACAACCATGGTTACCCTACACGCCTCTCCCCCCACCTGTGACACCCCATGTCGCCTCTGTGTGCCACTCCCGCCTGCCTCGCTTCCTCATCTGTAAAATGAAAAGTTGGATTGGATAATCTCCAAGATCTCTAGATCTATGCTGGGTCCCCTACACTTGTGAGCTGGAGGAGTGCAAGACACGCGCTGTCATCCTTCCCAGGGGACCACGCCGTGCCACTGAGCCCCCCCAGTGCACCACCGAGCACCGGGGGTCCAGGGCTTCTCAGGGACCCCCCAGGCTGTGAGACCTGATAGGAACCCTGCGGCTTGAGAGTAAAGGAGAGCCCTGTTTATCTGTTTGCAGTGGTTGGCAAACTGGCATTTTAAAAAGGAAGTGAATTGTGTGGGGTGGGGGTTTCAATTCAGGGAGATATTCGAAGACTTCAGTGTTTGCTCTGAGAGGTCATTAAATAAGTTTTGTTCCCACACCCTCTGGAAAAATGATGCTTCATTAAAATGGCAACATGAGGTGTAGAGAAAACGGTGAAACTGGGAACGCTGAAAAGACACATTCACCAGATTCCACTTAAAATGTAAAAGGAGTGTAAAGAAAACAAATGGACATTTTCTTGAGGCAGCTGAGCGATACAAAACACAGGCATCTTTGTCTCCTTCTTGAAAACTTCCACAATGTGCTCTCCTTTCTTCCTCTTGACTAATCTCTGCTTCTAAGAGGTGTTGAGTTTCGGCCAAACTTTCTGCTTCGCTCTCATCAAAGGCTGCCATCCAGTGAATGGCCAGCTCTCACCTACCGATCCTCTTACTCACTCCTGCCCAGCAGACGCAGGCCCTTCCCCATAATTAGCTCACAGACAGAATTTCCAGGCGGGGTCCGGGAGCATCAATCACAGGATGAATGGGACATCGGTGCGTGGGAACCGCGGGAGGAGCTGGGCGCAGAGCGTGCAGTGGTCCCTCCGAAGGTCTCCGTGAGATGCTGAGATGTTGCCACAGTTCCCCTCGGGCTACACCCGCGCTGGACAGACAGGTTGTGCTCGTTTCCACACAGACTCAGAGGTGCAGAATACCCCACAGGAGGGAGGCAGAAGTTTCTGTTTTTGCTGTATCATGGTGTGTGTGCGGCGCTCAGGCTTGTCCAACTCTTTGCGACCCCGTGGACTGTAGCCCACCAGGCTCCTCGGTCCATGGGGTTCTTCAGGCACGAATACTGCAGTGGGTTGCCATGGCCTCCTCCAGGGGATCTTCCGGGCCTAGGGACTGAACCCGCGTTTCTTATGTCTCCTGCATCGGCAGGGGTCTTCTTTACTACTAGTGCACCTGGGAAGGCCGCCTGGGAGACTGGGCTTCTGTTTTGTCCTTGTTGCCTTCTGCTTAACGCCCTGATTTCTCAGGTTTCAATTTTTCATCTATAATAGGACGGTGATGGTTCAGAATTATTAGCTACAATGAATAAGAGCAAGGTCAAAACACTTTGAAAATACAAAATAACGTCAAGTATGACATCCTCGTTTGCTCTTTACTAACATCCTCTGGGTGGTCTTGCCAAGGCAAGTGCCCCAGGCTGCCTCTTCCTCCAAAACCTGGTTCCTGCTCACCGGATCTTCAGAAGGAACCAGGGCCTGGGAAACGATGAGTTCAGCGCCAACCTCATTTTGGTCGGTTCTGATGCCTGGTGTATTTTGTGCATTGGTCCGTGTGCCTGACATCTTACTCACGCCTGTTCTCGGGGGACCACCTCTCCACCTCTCGCCATCACCTGGTTCAAAGGCTGAGTCCTCTGCTCTGTGTAGGGCCGGAGGAGGGGCTGGACCCCTGCCCAGGGCAGCTCCCAGGGGCTGTGGGCCGAGGTGTCTGGGGCACTTCCTGAAAGGCTTTCCTGGGGGAGGGGAGGGTGCTTTGACACTAGAGAAAAGCAAGGGCAAAAACCTGGGGAAGTCTAAAGCAGCATCAGGTCTATGCTGCCCCCTGGTGGTCACGCGTTGTGCTACAGTCGGTTCCCAGAAGCGTGAAATTACAATTACTCTTCTATCTCTGTCCTGCAATGTGGAAGTCTAGAGCTGAGAGGAGGCAGTCAAGATAGCTTAAGGGCAGTGGAAGCATAGATCTAATCTTCTCGTAGGACTGAAGACAGAACTTTTACTGTGGGAGCCATTTAGTCTTTACCTGGTAATGCGTATAAACTAGTCAACAAGGCCAGAATAAAAATCATACATTGAATGGATTTAAATTGTTTTTGATGGTTAAAAATTAAAATTATATTATTTCACCTATTTTGACTGTTACCAATTTGTTTTCGAGTTCCATCTCATTTTTACGGTTCGCAATAGTTTGGGGAGAAGAGAATAATGTAGTTTTTTTTTTTTTTAGCTTTTTATATTGGAGTATATCCAATTAACAATGTTGTGATAAGTTTTAGGTGGACAATGAAAGAACTCAGCCATACATGTACCTGTATCCATTCTCCCCCAAACTCCCCTCCCATCCAGGCTGCTGATAACATTGAGAAGAGAAGACAGTATAGCTTTTTTAAAAAGATAAAGCAATTTCCTTCATTCTAACTTATAACAAGGCCCTTACAAAGTTGTACCATGATGATTGTTTTAATTTTCACATTTTTTAACTTTTTATTTTATATTGGAGTATAGCTGATTAACAGTGTTGTGAGAGTTTCAGTGAAGGGACCAGCCATTCATATACATGTATCCATTCTCCTGCAAATCCCCCTCCCATCCAGGCAGGCACATAACAGTGAGCAGAGTTCCTTGTGCTGTACAGTGGGTCCTTGTTGCTTACCCATTTTAAACATAGCAGCGTGTAAGAGAATAATATAGTTTTAATCCCTGCTTCGCTGACATGGAAGCAGAGCCAGGGCCCTAAAATCTCTGCAGAGGGCGGGCTGTGGGCATCTGGGCCCTGGGTCAGGAGTCAGACGTGGGACAGGGCCATCAGTGCAGACCCAGGGGGTTCTCCTCTCAGATCCCACCCCTCCTTCACTTCTGCTCACCCCTGTCGCTTGCACCAGGAGTGTTTCTAGTCAGCTGTGTATGCTATGTTAGGCATTTCAAATATGTTTCTGGAAGTTGTCAGGGCTGTTCTCTATGAGGCCTGAAGGCAAAATTCAATGTTTGTAGTAAATAAGTACTAAAATTATACCAGCTCTTGAGAGAATGGACTATTTCCAGGTTGCTTAGCCTTATTGGCTGAGTGTTGAATTTGGCAGTGGTGCCAACATGTTATGCACAAGAATCTCGTATTCCTGGACTCAGGATCACACTGAAGGTGACGGTGAAGGATCTGTTCAAGGTGTGGCCAGCAGGGTTCAAGAAGGAGTTTATGGAGATACAAGAGAAGGTTCTGGAAACTTTGCTGGGATGGCTCAGCCCTTGCGCTAGTTGCAGCATCAGAAGCTAGATGGTGTTTTACGAACAGTGGGCTCCAAGGAATGTTTGTTCCTGGAATCGGAGCCACCTCTATATGGGATTCTGTCTTCCCATCTCTCAGGGTCTCTGTTATGGACTGAATTGTGTTCCTCCCAAGTTCCTATGTTGATATCCTAACCCCAGTATCTGAGAATGTGATTTCATTTGGAGAAAGGGCATTTGAAGAGGTAATTAAGTTAAAACGAGGTCATTAGCGTGGGCCCTCATCCATTGTGGAGGACTTCTGTCCTTATAAGAAGGGAAATTAGGATGGAGACATGCACAGAGGCGGGACTACGTGAGGACACGGTGACAAGATGGCCAAGCAAGCCAAGGAGAGAGACTTCTGAGCAAACCTACCTGGGTGGCACTTTGATTTCAGACATCCTGTGTCCACAACCATAAGGAAATGAATGAATGTTGTCTGAGCCAGTCAGTCTGTGGTACTTTGTGATGGCAGCCTGAGCAACTAAAATAGTCTCTATTTGAATTTAGGGAACATGGAGTGACTGGCCCATCCACTCAGCATCCACACCAACCAAGTGGAAACCATCAAAGCCACTCCGCAAGGAACTAAAACATCTTGAAAAACAGGAAAGTGACTTGTGAAATAACATCTGGTTGGAATGGCATCCTGTATGTTTTACTAGACAAGATATATTAGCCTGATTTCTGGAGAAAAGCCCAAATACATGCCACAAATATGTACGCCACAGCAATGATTGAATATAAATCTTCCCCTCCCACCCCCAGCTTTCTGGTGTCCTATGAAAGGAATCCAAATAGTATGAAAAATATCTTCAAGTCTAAGTGAATCACACAGCCAAGTTTAATGGAACCAAGCTACAAAGTTATTACAAGAAAAAAATATTCACCTTTGTTACCCTTAATTTTTCTATAGGCTGTTCTGAGATATCTGATGTTTAGCGTATAGGTTACATTATTTTTAAAAATAATTATTTATTTTTGGCTAGACAGGGTCTTCACTGCTTCATGCCCGGGCTTTCTCTTATTATGGAGCACAGGCTTTAGGTGCAGGGGCTCAATAGTTGTGGCTCCTGGGCTCTAGGGCACAGGCTTATTAGTCGTGGTGCACCAGTTTAGTTACTTTGAGACATATGGGATCTTCCCGGACCAGGGATTGAACTTGTATTCCCTGCATTGGCAGGGAGATTCTCAACCACTGGACCACCAGGAAAGTCCGTCGGTTACATTATTTGATGGAATTCTACAAAAGACTTAGTACAAAAAAGGAACCTGAGAACCCAAGGCTTGGAATCCAAGGAATGCAGGCGTTCTGCTGAGTATCATCAATGATGGCCATGAGGTTGACATTGGAGATGAGCTAACTTTTACTGAGTGTTTCTCATGACAAAGGCACTAAGTGAAGTGCTTGGAATAGGTCACTTAGGTCTCACAGAAACTCTAGTAGAAAAGACGTGGTGGATAAGATGTGGTGTAAGCTAGCCGTTCCGTCTTGGTCACTGCTACTCTTCAGCCTTGGCATCTTGAGCAAACTAGTTTACTCTCCATGACTCAGTCTTCTCATTTCAAAAGGTTGTTATCGATGTGGCTGAAAGTGCTTGAAACAGTACCTGGCACCAAGTAAGGTTTTGGTAAGTGTATGTTGCAGGTGTTCTTGTTTTTATTTTTATATTCTATTGTAGTATAGTTGATTTACAATGTTTTGTTAGTTTCAGGTTACACAGCTAATTGATTCAGTTATCCATATACATATATCAATTCTTCTTCAGATTCTTCCTAATGTCCTCATATAAGGAAACAAAGGACAATAGAGATGTGAAGCTCTTTGCTCAGCACTTCGGGTACCACTGTGCGGAGGACGTCCAGGCTGCCACACTGCACCAGCACATCACATTTGGTGACGTTGTCCTTTGCAGATGTTGTTGTTGTTGTTTTTCAATAAGTCATATCCTCTTTTGCAACCCCATGGACTATACCCTGCCAGGCTCCTCTGTCCATGGGATTTCCCAGACAAGAATACTGGAGTGGGTTGCCATTTCCTTCTCCTTCTCCTGAACTAGGAATCGAGCCTGAGTCTCCTGCTTGGCAGGCTGATCCTTTCTTTACCACTGAACCACCAGGGGTAATTGTGACCTTATTCTTGCCCTAACTTGTGCTGGGACACACAAGAGGGTGTTCTTAATATGTGAGACATATGCTCCTTTAACCCTGAGTACTAAATCAGTGTGCGTTTTCTAAAAATAAGGACATTCTTTTCAAGAACCACAATACATTGGCCAAAATCAGGAAATTAATACTGATCTGATAATGTCAATCTATAAACTTTAATCAAAATTTGCTGGGACTTCCCTTGTGGTCCGGTGGTTAAGATTCTGAGCTTCAACTGCAGGAAGCAAGTGTTTAATCCCTGGTTGAGGAATTAGGATCCCACATGCTGAGTGGGGTGTGGCCAAAAATAATTGCCAACTGTTTCACATATCTCCTTTATAGGAAAATCAAGTAACCTCAGCTTAAAAAATTTTTTTTTAAATTTTTTGCTTTTCATCACTTTTGACACTTTCAGAGCACAGGGTTTTTATTTTGAAGATGACCCTTCAATTTGAAAACAGATTTATTTTTAATGTGCATTTCTTAGAAACACAAATTTACCTAAAGGAATGAAGAAATAGTGGGAATATATGGACATCACAACAGACATCAGATGGGAATATGTGAAGGTAGGTGGATCTTCTGACAACACTGAAATTGAAATAATTGGTGGACATCATGGTTGACACTGGTATAAAAGTTGTTCACTGTTAGTCTTAATAAGTCAGTTACTTCATACCTAACATTCAGTTCAGTTCAGTTCAGTTGCTCAGTCATGTCCAACTCTTTGTGACCCCATGGACCACAGCACGCCAGGCCTCCCTGTCCATCACCAACTCCCGGAATTTACCCAAACTCATGTCCATCAAGTCGGTGATGCCATCCAACCGTCTCATCCTCTGCTGTCCCCTTCTCCTCCTGCCCTCAATCTTTCCCAGCATCAGGGTCTTTTCAAATGAGTCAGCTCTTCACATCAGGTGGCCAAAGTATTGGAGTTTCAGCTTCAATATCAGTCATTCCAATGAACACCCAGGACTGATCAGCTTGAGGATGGACTGGGTGGATCTCCTTGCAGTCCAAGGGACTCTCAAGAGTCTTCTCCAACACCACAGTTCAAAAGCATCAATTCAAGGATTGAAGTCCCCGGTTCTTCAGTGTTGAACTTTCTGGTGGGTTGTCCGCACAGCCAGAGGCCGTAGAGCAGATTCCCTCTGGCTCCGGGAAGCTCCGAGGCGTCGCAACTGGCGCACAGGCCCCGGGGCCTGCCGCCTGCGCCATGGTCCAGCTCACTACAAGAGAAGAAAAATTTAGAGAAAAAAAAAAGAAAGCATCAATTTTTCGGCGCTCAGCTTTCTTCACAGTCCAACTCTCACATCCATACATGACTACTGGAAAAACCATAGCCTTGACTAGACGGACCTTTGTTGGCAAAGTAATGTCTCTGCTTTTTAATATGCTGTCTAGGTTGTTCATAACTTTCTTTCCAAGGAGTAAGCGTCTTTTAATTTCATGGCTGCAGTCACCATCTGCAGTAATTTACGGGTTTGATTTCTATGGTCTCTAGTATTGCCTCTGGCTCTGGAATTCTTGTAATACTTTAAGACTGTGAGATTTGCGACTGTTAATGGTGCTATTTACATACTTCCTTTATGTGTTCCCTCACTGATTTTCCCTGGGAAAGGAATATCCTGGTTAATATCACTGATCTCCAACCCATTCAATTCTCTCTTCCTGTAACCTTTACAATTTTTATTCCATTTTCTTCAATCACTCAAGTGCCTTATTTGGACTATGCTTCTGCCATGTGGCTGCTCTTGGAGTGTAGAAATGCCTCAGGTGCTAGGACTGCGATTCCAAAACATTTCCTCCATGGAGGAGACAATCGGCTCCCAAGGAAGATCTGAGATCATAACTGAGATCTCAGCTCTGAGACCACCCCTGAGATCTCAGCTCACCACCACTGTCCTGGCTGCTGGTGGCTTGTTCTTCCCAAGAAACCACTTGCTGCATATACACTCCTGGCAGGAACAGAACTGGGCCTCCCAGGTGGCACAGTGGTAAAGAATCTGCCTGCCAAAGCAGGAGACACAAGAGATGCAGGTTTGATCCCTGTGTCAGGAAGATCCCCTGGAGGAGGAAATGGTAACACGCTCCATGGACAGAGGAACCTGGTGAGCTACACTCCACGGGGTTGCAAAGTCAGACATGACTGAACACACACACACACACACACACACACACACACACACACACACACACACACATAGGAACAGAACTACCTGATGAATGGCAGTGTAGACAGGAATGGTTGCAATGCTATTGTTCCCTGGGTGGTGGATTTCAGGCACACTTTCTAGATGTTATTTCCAAGGGCTCTATTTGCTCCATTTGGGGTAAAAGAAAGACACAAAAGGCTTATTGGAATGTTAGACTTTGGAAGTGCGTCAGAGAATAATGATGGCTAAAAAGAAAGATATCATTTCGCTAACAATGACACAGTGAAGGTGTAGGGTTTCTAGTTGCTGTTGAAATTTGAAAGAATTGGCTATTCACTTAAAAGGTAAGAAGAAGAATGGGTGTCTACAGCGAAAGGGACTTGTGAGTTCCAGAGAGCCATCTGTGTGTTGGTTACAGAACAAATGGAAACAGAACCATTTGTACATTATGAAGTACTTGTAAGCTGCTCATGCAACCTAGCACTTGTCCATTCGTTTTTTAAATTATTCAGCGTGTCCCATTTTTCCATCCTAGGCTCCGAGGATGCAGAGGTAGAAAGAGGCGAGTCTCAGTCTGTTCACGGGGGCAGGCATTGGAAAGGGTAATTACAATATGGTGGAGCTGTTAAGTCAGGAAGATCCCCTGGAGGAGGGCATGGCAACTCACTCCATTATTCTTGCCTGGAGAATCCAATGGACAGAGGAGCCCGGTGGGCCTCAGTCCATGAGGTCACAAAAGAGTCATATACAACTGAATTGACTTAGCAAGTACGCATGCAGGAGCTGTAAAGGCGCCATGGATGGGATGTTGTGGGGCATAGAAGGACTAAGTCAGGAAATGTATATGGAGTGGGAACATTTAGGCAGGATCTTGTAGTATGTGTAGGAGTTTGCTGTGTAGATGAAAGATTGCACTTCAGGTATATGAAAAGGTCTGGAGTTACAAACAAAAGGGAAATGATTTTTGTGAGATCAGGGGAGGCAGAGCCCTTGGTTTTGACTGACTCCGTGGGTATGTTCAGCCAAGCAGGGAGCCCAGGTTCGATTCCTGGTCAGGGAACTAGATCCCACATGCAGCGACTAGGACATGGAGCAGCTAAATACATGGATAAAATAATAATAAAAAAGAAAGTCTAACTCAGAGGTCTGGCCCCCTCAACAGAGCTTCTCAGGTGCGTCCTTGGTGGAGACCATCTTCTGTAAGCATCTCCTCAACATGGAGCATCTGCCCACGGGAAGAAAGGCCACTGGGTGCTGTTCATCCACCTTCTCAGACAGGACCTGTGGACTCTCCTGGATGAACCACACTCTTTATCCCGCTGGGCTGGGAGTAAACTCCAGTGACAGGAATGTCACCCAGCCTCCCCACCAGGTGCGGCTCAATTTTGGGAGAGGCTTCCAAATAAGATTTTCTAATCTCCTTTAGAGTCTCAGACTCTATTTGCATCATACTTCCTGTTAATTTTTATCATTCGGTTTTATCATCAAGTTTGAGGCTGGGAGGGGGCACATCCAGGGCTTCTGTGCTGCTCTTACCCCATATGGTGACTGAATGCTGATTACATGGGGCCTTTGTGTTGCAAAAATTCAGCGTACTGCTCACTTACCGTGTGTGTACTTCTGTAAAATACCTTATTTATTTATTTATGGCTGTGCTGGGTCTTTGTTGGTAGGCTTTTCTCTAGTTTCAGGGAGCAGGGGCTGCTCTCTAACTGTGGTGCCCCGCGGCATGTGGGATCTTCCAGACCAGGGATTGAACCCGTGTCTCCTGCATTAGCAGGCAGACTCTCCACCACTGAGCCACCAGGCAAGCCCCATGTGGGTACTTTTCAGTCAGTATGTAATATAGTAGTTTTTCCAGTTTCTTTTTTTAAATTAAAGAAACAGGGCTTCCCTGGAGGCCCAGTGGTTAAGAATTTGCCTGCCAAGGCAAAGGACACTGGTTCACCCCTGAAGATCCCACATGCCTCGGAGCAGCTAAGCCCATGTGCTGCAACTACTGAAGCCCTCGAGCCTAGGGTCTGTGCTCTGCAACAAGAGAAGACATTGAAACAAGGAGCACGTACACCAGAGTGAAGAGAAGGAAGCCCCCTGCTCCCCTCAACTAAAGAAAAGCCTGAGCAGCAACGAAGACCCAGCACAGCCAAAAATAAAGAAATAAGTCTTTTAGAATGCATTTGAGTCAGTTCTAATGAGGTGGATGAAACTGGAGCCTATTATACAGAGAGAAGTAAGTCAGAAAGAAAAACACCAATACAGTATACTAAGGCATATATAGAATTTAGAAAGATGGTAATTTAATGATGACTCTATATGTGAGACAGCAAAAGAGACAGATGTAAAGAACAGACTTTTGGACTCTGTGGGAGAAGGTGAGGGTGGGATGATCTGAGAGAATAGCATTGAACCATGTATATTATCATATATGAAACAGATCGCCAGTCCAGGTTCAATGCATGTGACAGGGTGCTCAGGGCTGGTGCCTTGGGATGACCCTGGGGGATGGGATGGGGAGGGAGGTGGGAGGAAGGGTCAGGATGGGGGACACGTGTACACCCATGGCTGATTCATGTGAATGTATGGCAAAAACCACCACAATATTGTAAAGTAATTAGCCTCCAATTAAAATAAAAAAATTAACTGTTAGGAATATAAAAAAAAAATAAATCTTTAAAAAAATGGAAGAATAGCTAACAGTGTTGTGTTACTTTCAGGTGTACATCAAAGTGATTCAGTTTTTAGATTTCTTTTCCATTGCAGGTTTTTACAAGATACTGAATATAGTTCCCTGTGCTAGACAGAGGGTCCTTGTTGTTATTTTATATAGAACAGTGTGTAGCTGTTAAACCCAATTTCCTTCTTTATCTCCACCTCTTTCCCTTTGGCAATCATGTTTGTTTTACGTCTGTGAGTCTGTTTTGTAAATAAGTTCATTTGTATCATTTTTTTTTTTGATTCCACATATAAGGGATATCACATATTTGTCTTTTTCCGACTTACTTCATTAGTATGATAACCTCTAGGTCAATGCATGTTGCTGCCAATGGCATTATTTCCTTAAACGAGTCATGCTGTAATGAATGCAGAGCCCCTGTTCCCCTTGATCTAACCCCTTGCGGCGAGCGTATTCCCAGGATGCGCCCGGGCTCTGCGCTTGGCAAGGATGCAGCTGGGGGTCCAGGCAGAGGCACAGTCCCCGGTGTGTGGACCGCTCTGCGGGCTGTGGGAATAGCAGTCTTGGATTTCCTGGCTTTTGTGCATTGACCGTCTCACTCACAGAGTTGCATTAACCCGGTTTCCTAGCCTGAATGAAACCATTGGCAACTTTCTGATTTGTGTTTCATCCCGAGTGCAGGCTGGTAACGGAGCCAGGAGTCCCCAAGCTTTCCCAGGCGGGCGGGCACGGAGACACACTGGGACTCCTTTTTCCTCTCCTCCGTCCATCTGCAGGCCAAGTGCGCCTCGGTCAAAGGCAAACTCTGAATCGAGCTTTGTGTCAGGCTCTGGAAAGGCGCTGAGGAGCGTGCGATGGGGGAGAAGCGACGGTGCTGATGGCAACCGCATCGGCGGGCCATCCCCGTCACTATCGGCGCAGGACGCCGGCGGGCACGCTTCATGAGAACGGTCCACCCGCTGGAGAATGGGGCTTTTGACATCAGCTGAGGCCCCGGCTGCCTTACAATGAGAGGCCTGTTGGTGGGAGCCAGACTGTTTAATGAACTGAGAATCGGAGGCCAGCTCTGGCCATCTGGACTGAGCATCTCTGCAGAAACTCTTCACTGTAACCGGCCACGCTGAAGCTCACGGCCTTTCTAAGAAAGGAACTGCAACAATAAATTCATATTTTGAAGTCGAGCACAATAAATTCATATTTCAAAGTCGTGCACAATAAATGTATTTCAACACTGTGAACTTTTAGATACTTGTCCCTGTGTGTTTGTGTGTGTGTGTGTGTGTGGCACAGTGGTAAAGAATCCGCCTGCCAATGGAGGAGATGCTAGAGACGTGGGTTCAATCCCTGGGTCAGGAAGATCGTCTGGAGAAGGGAATGGCAACCCACTCCAGTATTCTTG